CCTCCCTGTTTTTAAGAGAAAAGTTACAAGAACAAGTTGCACAAAGCATAAAAGCCATTGAATCAGAAACACAAACTTCAAATTTAATATCGATCATAAAGAAAGAAATGCATCTGTTTGAAAATGGTGGAAACCGGGGGCATAATTTGGAATAAGTATACCAATATTTGTTATCTATTCCATCGACGAGCATCGAACCTGAGCGGGCATTTTCTGCAGCTGGGTATTTGGGAAGTAAAATAAGGAGTAGGCTAAATGACCAAACTTTAAATGCTCTACTATTGCTCCGGGCATATTTTCAGACAAAAAAAGAAAGTTTGTAAATAAAATATGCATTTAATATGAATTGTTTTTTTGTTTTACATTTATTATTTAGTTAACATTTATTTATAAATATAAAATAAAGATTTTCTTTAATTTTTGTCTCTCAATATTAACAAACAACTTATTATGTTATTTTTTACAAAGTAGTTTGTTGCTACAGCAGCTACATCGGTACCCAAATTTAAGAAAATTTATGTTTACAAATTTATTTTGAAATTTTGATTGTTTAGTTACTTTAGTCAAATACACTTTAAATGTTCAAATGTTATTTACATATCCAATTATTTGATGAAGGTTATTCTGTAAAGTCTGTAATCTTAAAACATAATATGGAAGGTACCGTATATATATTTCTGCATTATTTTAAGATCTTTATATACACCTGCTGCCTGTTACACAATTAAAACAATTTAAGGCGCCGTAGAAAATTAATGTAAGTCATTAAAACATTATGAAATTAAATAAAAAATTGATAACATCAAAAAGTATATTCATAATTGCAGTATTAAGTTATGTTTTTTAGCAAATAACTCACATTATATAAAATCCCGGGATACCGGGATCCCGGGATTTTATTTACTTCAATCCCGAAATCCCGGGATCGTAATTCATGCCCGGGATTGCAATCCCTATTGGCAATGCACGCATGTACTTATCATAATTTTCAAGGATTTTACGGGAGGCGTTGCCATTAAAGACATTATTCTGGACCTCTTTTGAAATGTTTAAAATCATTGATACTTTAACCACTTCGTTTTTACCACCACATTTCTCTATATGATTATAAATATGATTAAAAGCTCCCTCATTAGGTGTAACTCTAGCGGGAAAATATAATCTGACACTAAGTGGTCGCTGGTTTCTGCGTGTATGGAGGATTAATAACGTTGCAAAATTCTTCAGCATTTTGTTTTATTGCATCTTATTGAGAAAATTTTGTGTACTGTTCCTCTAAAGAACCAAAAGTTCTAAGCTTCTCTTCTTTAAATGGTTGCATTCGTTTCCATTCACATATATGTCAAGGTTGTGTAGCTAACCAAAGTTTTCGGTTTTACTTTTTTTTTAAGAATTTAAGAAAATAATTATTGTTGTAGTTGTATAGAACTTTGTGTAAAAACAGTAAATATTTTTTTAATGTTTTGACTGGGGAACTTCCTGTATATTCTGATTTGCATGCTTTCCTCAAAATTATTTTTGATCCGCCTGCACCCTTCAAAAACTATTTTTGATTGGCTTGGTCGGCAGACCCATTTAGAAAGATCTTTGAAGGATACAAGCTAATAATGCAAATGTTGGAAATCAGAAACGGAAATTAGATTTTTTAGTTAAGCTTTCAATAAACAATAACTCGCAGCCTAGGTGTTTAAAAAATAGCAGATTCATTGTTTTGAATTATTTTAAATGTATTTTAGATAGAAATAAGGTCTAATCTGAAAAAGAATCATTTTTGTCTAATATATTTGCTGAGGCTCTTAATAAAATTATAGAAAAAAAAATTTTTTGAATGAAAAAGCTATACTAAGTGTTTTGCACAAAACATGCAAAGTTTCAAGAATATAATTCCCATCATCTCAGATATTTTTAACTGTTTTGAAGTGATTTTCAACAATAAGTTTTTTAAATAATTATATTAACTTAAAAATAAATAAAAAATGTGTATGTATATGTGTGCGTACTATAAGAGGTTTGATATTTAAAAACGGACAATTTTAACATTTTTAGTTGCTTAAAATATAAAAGTAAAAGTTATATAATATATATAGTATAAATAATATATTATATAATACTATATAAAAAAGTTAATTATTGGTTAAAATGATTGCAAATAAAGATATAATAGCTTTTTGTGACAAAGCATTTTAATATAAAACTTTTTAAAATTTAAAATTATGTAAAACTTTGTTCCAGGTGTTTAAATTAAATAAATATACTTTTCTTGTAAAATTTTTATTATTTTCTAAATTTCATCTTCAAACTTTGATGTTTTTAGCAGCACGTGAAAAAGTAACATTCTTATTATATTTTACAGCAATTAAGATTAAACATTGGACACAGTCCACGGTTGTTTAAACTCACCTAAAAAGCGACAAGTTATTGTACGCAAGCGCAGTTAGGTTATAAAAAATTTCAGAGTTTTAAAATGGTGAGCGAAAGATACAATGACTCAAAATGAGGTTTTGACTTTTTAAAAAAAGAAGACCAGATATATTACTGAATTGGGGAGAAATGTAGGAGAGTGCTTCTACATTGACTTATTTAGGGATAACATGCAAGGGAATGCTGCTACATCGACTGAGGGTTTGGGTTAAGACAGGTACAGATCAATCGATGTAGCACATTTCTCCTCAAATCAGTAATATATCTGGTCTTCGTTTTTAAAAAAAATCTAAACCTCATTTTGAGTCATAGTATCTTTCGCTTACCTTTTAAAATGGCTACGGACCTTCGCTACAAAGTTAGTTTTTAGATGAATACTAATTTTTCTTAACTCGTGGCGTTTTTTAGGATTATCTACAAAGACAACCAGTTAATCGAATTCTTAATAGTGTTTCGGTAACTTAGTTTTTATTAGAAAGTAAGTGAGATAAAAAGAAAATATTTTTTTTGATTGGTGCAACCACCATCTTTAACACAAATTGTGTTAAAGATGGTGGTTTAAACCATCTATTTTGAAAGTTTTTTTATTTATAGATGGAGACTCACAATAAGAATTTGATTCTTCTTCGCAGAGTTTGTGGTTATTTAGTTGGGAAAAAAAAGTACCCTATTGGAACAAACCAGAGAAATAAAATTGAAAAGGTGTTTTATGTCTTGCTATCAGATGAGATAGAGAATGTTCATCCATCTAACATTTGTCACAAATGTTATGATACAATAAACAATGTCATCAAAAGAATGGCATCGACAACACTTCTTTTAAATATGAACTGGAAACCTCATTCTGATAAATGCTATTGTTGCCAACAGGCAGAAAAACTCAGTAAAGGTGTAAATTTTACTAAATCAAGAAAAATGAATAAAAGACTTATAGGTTGCCCTGTTCACCAGGCTGGTGTTTGTGAAAAAGTACACGACTCAGAAATAAATGTTGAAGAGCTAAAAAATGAGTTTAATCCACATTTACAGCTTTGTCAGTGTAATTTATGTGGTAAAATACCAAAACAACCAGTAACTTTAAAAAAATGCGAACACTTATTTTGTTTTTTTTTGTTTAGTAGAAGATATAAAGGTAAACCTTCTGAAGATAACATTATGTCCAAAATGTAAGGTGTTTATTTTACCTGAAGATTTAGTGACCAGTGTTAAAACAAACTCTCTTTTAAATATGTTAACTGTTAAGTGTATATGTAAAAAAAAGTTTAATGTATTAAAAGAATACAACTTATACACTAATCATAAGAGTTTCTGCATTGCCAAATCATTAACAATGGCACAATCAACCCCAATGATATCATCATCATTATTGTCTTCATTTGCTGATAATTCGGTTTCATCGTCAACTTTTACAGTAGCATCATTGCCATCATCATTGACATCATCATCATCGTATTTATTTAACAGCAACATTTCTGATATTTTCAATCTAACTGCAGGTAATGATATTCCTAGAATAGTTGAAGATGCTGCACTACATATTCTTAAGCAAAAGATGGCTAAAGATGGTGGAAAAGTAGTTGAGTTCAAATATGGAGGATCTAGAATAATTATTTTTTTTTTCAATTTTAATTTTCATAAATGTTTTTTTTAGCCAGTTGTGTTTTCGCTCACTCCAAAGGCTCATGTAAGCAGTAACAAAGCATCAAAAACAACTATAAGAGTCAGAAATTCTTCGATTGAAAAACACATGGAGGTTATGTCTGGTACATCAAATGATGCAATATGCTGCCAATCATCAAAGCTGCTAAAATCATTTTAAACAGAGACAAAGGGTTTGATATTGGATAATTTATATACTAAAGCAGTAGTAATTACTGCAAATAACATGGTAGCAATGAAAGCAGATTTGTGCATACCTTGGGAAAAGCTTAAAACAATATCAAAGTAGTTATATTTTTATATGAATTTTATTTTATATTAATTTTTTATAGCATGGAATATAGTTTTTTTTGTTTCTGTGTTTGAAGGTGGCTGAAGAGCTTTAATATAAATACAGCATCATATTCTTTACAAAGATTAGTTGCTGAAAAATTATCTGGTGATGACTTATTATTGAAATTTACATTAAAAAAGTATGACTTATAAACAATATTGATTTTTTATTATTATGATTTATTGATTTGGTATTATTATGTTTAGAGGTTTATGTAAAAGGGTATTTGTGTTTGTAAATAGAATAAAGTTTTAAAGGTGTAAACTAGTTAAAACAAAAAAGTTTTGCAAACATCTATATGATGGAAACTAATTGTAGAATGCTTTTACATCAAGAAGTGTGAATGTATTTAAGATACTTGTTTGCAAGTTTTTGATCAAGGAATCTTGTTGTACACCTAAACTCACACATTTTGTGTGTGAGTTTAGGTGTACAGTTTGCAGATCAACATTCACTAAGTTGGTGATTTAAATGTCAATCCTTTTCTACACAGAATAGTCTTGTTATTACTGAATATACAATATTATAATTTATGCAGTTTTTTTGGTTTATTTTATCCCTACTTTTTTTATTTTTTTAGACGACTCAATATAATGCTCTGCTTGGAAAGCAATCATTAGGGTTGGACCAAAGTCCATGCACAAAAATGATCGAGACTATACTGCAAAAGCTGAAAGTACAACGTCAAGCGTATCACGGAAAAAGTTTTGTGGGAAACCATGTGCATAAAATGCTAAAAGTAATTTTCATGAACTACTATCTTTTTCATAAATTATTTTCTATAAGGGTTGTCCGTTAATTATGTCAACAAAATAGGGGGGGGGGGTATTCTGAACTTTTTTGACAATTTTTGACTTAGGGGAAGTAGGGAGGTCAAGTAAAGTTAACAATAACATAGTTATTATTTTTATTAGTTGCATAGCTTAAAAAACGGAAAATTAGGCTGCGTTTATAGTGTAGATTTTTTATTCAGGACGGGGGGGGGGGGAGATCATAATTTAACGTGATTTAAAAAAACTTAAAGGTAAAAATTTGGTTGACTTAATTAATGGGCCCATATTTGTAGAGCTAATGAAGTAATAAAATTTATTCACAATAAGTTAAATATTTAATTTAAAAAAAATTATATGAAATTAAAATAAATCTCTAATTATGATATTTAATGTTTTCAAAAAAGGCAAATGCTTTTAGCAAGATGCTCTTTTGAAGTTAACCTATTAACTTTTATAGAAAAGGACTGAGTATTTTATACTGATATCATCACGAGAGAGATTTTGAGATTAACACCAGAGGTTTGTGACCTCCTCCTCATTATATCCTCTATTATATCTCTCCTTATATCCTCCTCCACCCATTCCCTCATGTTTTCCTCAGTTATGTTTTAAGGATTTTATATCATTATTTTTTTTCTCATAGGTAAATTACCTTCACCACGACTAAAAAGCCTCATTTTTATGACTAAAGGGGAAAAGGAGAGGGGTCGACAAACCGGGAAAAATCTCTGACATCATTTATGGACGGCTCCTTAGCAAAGCAGCTTAGCATTTTTATAATTAACTTATAATAAATATTTAACTGTTTATAAACAAGATTAAAAATAAGTTTGCTATTTAGAAATCTTCAATACTTCAGCTATGTAACTGTATACCGAAGCTTGTTCATGAAGAAGGATATTCAGGAACAAACGTGCACCTGTTAGCAGTTGATTTTAGCAATAAATATAAACAACTATTTGATAAATTTGCCCAGTGCTACAAAATATTTTCTTCAAGAAGTATAGTTACACCAGAAGATTTAATTCTTTTAAGGAAGTTTCATTAAATAAAATATTTTGAAATTAGTGTTTAAGTATACTTATTGATTTTTTTTATAATTGTTCTTTTAAATTCTTTTAGAAAAAAAATATAAAAAGTTTAATGCAATTTTATCGTGCGAATTGGCCCGAGGCTTCAATTAACACCTACACCTAAGTTGCATATGTTAGAACATCATGCTGTTCCGTTTTTGAAAAAATGGGAGCGGGATTCGGGTACAAATGTTGAGATCACAAATCGAGCCTTTTTTTAGTCTTCAAATACCTATTTGGCTAACCAAGGTTAGGTTTTATATATATATAATTTTGCGTATTTACTGTTTTTATATACAATATATACATTTTGAAATTTTGAAACGACGCAAACTTCTTGTAAGTACTCATATATATAGAATCCCCTGGTTTTCTTTGCTTAAATAATATTTCGAAATCATAAAAAAATGCGTTAACGAATAAGTTTTTTTTTTTATCTTATTACAGAGCACCATGGAGAATACCATTTAAGAGATTGGCTATCCTTTTTCAACCTTACCGAAAACATTTTTGTGCCAAGGCGGGAGAGCCCAAATGCTACGGCTGCTTAATTTTTTGTCAATAAAATAGCTACAGTCTTATTATAAGTATTTACATATTTTTTTAAATCTGAACATTGTCTAACTAGAAACCAAGATTAGCGTCGCAGAGGCGTAACCAGGGCGAGAATTAAGTTAATAAGTTAATAATGCCTATAACATATAGAAAATTTGCGTATACTTGTTTATTTAAAATATATTCCAAACAAATTTTAACATTATTTAAATATAAAAATAAACATGAATTTTAACTTAACGAAAAACTAAATAACGATATAGAGGGACTTGATGATAAAAGTACAATTTTTTTTTGTCCCGGTCATGTAAATATTTTTTTAAATATTGTTATTGTAACTATTTCAAACAGCAAAATATAATCTATCTGTTATTCTTTGGCTGCAAGGAATATTTATATGCTTTTTTTACAACAAAAGAAATGTTTTGCTGCAATAAAATAAAAATGCCCTCAACGACAATTCTCTTGAAATATTCACACTTTTTTACTGTGTAGTTAGTCATTTTTTTCAATAATATTAAAATGAGCATAGAGTTTTCAAGAAGCTTGTGACTTTCAAATCCGGAGTCCTTTTTTGGACTCTGCATCCTTGATACATATATATATATATATATATATATATATATATATATATATATATATATATATATATATATATATATATATATATATATATATATATATATATATATATATATATATATATATATATATATATATATATACCATAGACGACATAATAAAACGACATATAAAAAAAAAGTGTTAAAAAAAATTGAGTGCTAAGGTCTGAAAAGAGAATAAAATGCATTGAGAATTTATCTGATTTAAAAAAAAAATTAAATCATTTGTACGCTCAGATTTTTAGATAATTTGTTTTTAAAAGCATAAACAAATGGCGCCTAATCTAGAATGGTAATTTTCTTAGAAAAGCACAACTTTAAACTTTTTGATGAATTCTTTATCTTATTTTAGTAATTTTTTCAATCATCTAAGTTAATTCTATTGTGATTTCAGTTATAGAAAAATTTTAAAATGTTTATTTATATGGAAAAGTAGATAAATAAAAAGTACCATAAATAAAAACATATTGTAGCTGCGATCCGTAGCCGTTATTAATATTCAATTTATTTCTAACTATTAATGCGCTTGCGTATAATAACTTGTTGCTTCTAAACGACCGTGAGTCATGGCGCTAGGAATAGTGAGGTAATAGTATTAGCAGCTAATGTTAGTCTTTATGAGCACAAGCCTCACAGAATACGAAAACACCAAAAGATAATAAAAATAGTGTAAAACTGATTTATGCAGTAGTCTATTTATGATGTATTAATATAACTAAATGCATGACTTGAGTTAAAATGAAGTTATCATAATGCTTTTTATTTGAAAAATTTTAAAAAAGTTTTGGACACTACACTTTAAACAATATATTGTATATCGTCGGCTCAGACGTTATACCTCGTAAGTCAAAAAGTTTTTTTGAGATAAATGCATCAAAATTTACTGAAAAAAGTATTTTGAAAACAAATTGTCAACAAAAACTCCATTATAGAGTAATGGAAAACATTGTCTTAACATATTATCAAACATTAGCTAAACTAAAAAAATTGGTTTTATAAATACAAATACGTAAATTATTATGTGCAGTGTCTATTATATCATAGTATTTTTGATTTATAATATGTTTTTATGTTATAAATCAATAAACATAGATTGAGTAGGATGGATAAATGGATAAACATCAGATATTTTACCTAAATGGATAAACATCAGATATTTTATCGGAAGTTATCTTTAAAAACATTAATGCTAACAAAATCTCTTATGCTATTTCTGCCGACAATTCATTACAAAATTCAGAAGCATAAAATGAAACGTCATTACAATAAAAAGATTATCGTCTAGCTAACCCCAGAAACTTTTGCATTTTTACATACGTAATAAACAGCTATACTTTCAGCAATCAGAAGAGTGCTTGAGTTATATCAGCCACTATGATCTTTTTAGGCCTTAAGTTATATCAGACACAATGATCGTTTTTTTTGGGTCTTAAGTTATATCAGACACTATGATCAGTTTTTTTGGGTCTTAAGTTATATCAGACACTATGATCAGTTTTTTTGGGCCTATAATTTTTTCTAAAGTGATATAAAACTTTTTAAATAACGAAATTGATGAAAATGTATTATTTTTTGTTTCAATCAAACTAATGTTTTTTATAATACAGCAAAAGAAAAAGTCGACGTTTCTGCTACTGAATTTACCGTACTGTAAAAGAATTTGGAAGATTAAATTAAGTTTAAAATAATCATGTTTACCTTTTAAGGTAAAATAGCATTTGCAAGTTAGTAAAGAAAGTAAACATCATTTGAAAAACCAGTTTTCGAAGAAAATAGACATTTTATGCAGTCTTTGCCTAGAGTATATAAAGGAATGGACACGTCACCATAATAGATTTTATGTTTTTAAATGGTCTTTACCGAACTGTAAAATGAAAATTGAATTTGAAATTTAAATTATAAAAACCATAACTTTTTTTGAAAAAATCATTTAAATTTACATTCGATGACAATGAATTGTTTAACAAAATACAAAGAACTAAATTATATACGAAGTAAAAGTTATCTTCTTGGAACTCTTTATATTTTATGTGACCACCGATGGTTTGAAGTTTTTTCCTCATTTTAAAAAAAATCATGTTCTTTACAATGTTTTAAATTCTTCCGTAGAGCGAGTATTTTCAATTGTTAATGATATTTGGACCAAAGAGAAATTCTAACTTACATCGAAGCTATTTTTCTCATTAAATTTAATTAAAGAAAGTATAACTGTTCACAGTTTGTTGAAAATATTAAAAAAATTGTTATTCAAAAATGCAGTAAACAAAGTTGTGAACAAAATATTAGGCCGAGCACTTTTTTCTTAATTTAGTTTTTGCAATTTTAAAATAGATAAACTTTAATTAATAATTTAAACCAGTATATAGAAACACTCAATAACGCACTTTAAATGTATTACTTGTACGCGTCCGGCTATTTTAAAACTAAAATGTAATAATGGTTCAATGGTTTAATTTGCTTCATGTTTTAATAGCCATTCCATTCAGTTAACAAGATTTTTTACATCTACCACTCTGTGTAGTAACGTCTTTTTTAATTCTTGATGCTCTATTAAAAAACAACGCTTAGCATTAAATTCAATGGATTTAATGGATCATTTTTTGAAAAAGCTGTATTATAATTACATTTAATAATATCAGTCTTTGAGCATTGTAGCCCAAGTTAAACGAAAAATATCAATTTTTAAACGATAATGTTCTTTTCACGAAAATCGTCTGAACATGTTTTCGATCTCTTGAGAATTCTATATGATATAAGTTCAGTATTTACATTTTTTTTCCATTATAAGTCTCTATAACTTTAATCGTTGAAATAATGTTTACGATTTTACTTCCATTTCTGCGCGCGCATAAATTTTATATCGTTCTTTTTGTCAACAATGATTGAAGTAATGACGTCGAAATAACGTTAAATAATCAACGTTTAAACTGTAACGTTGATTTAACGTTGAAATAGCGTTAAATAATCAACGTTTAAACGGTAACGTTGATTTAACGTTGTGACATAGTTGAACAACGTTGAAACAACGCTTCAACCGAATTTCAACGTTGAAACAACGTAGTAATGCCGGCTGGGAATTCTTGTGAGTAAATCAAGAATATTTTAATACGTCGTGTGGTTAAAACTAAATTCTAGTGAGTTTCGAGTTTTTTATAAAATCCTAACGAGAATATTATAAGTGCTTAAATATTGAATTTGTTTTTAATAGTGATAAGTCATAACAAATTTTGCTATTATATATTAAAAATAATTAGTTAATATAATAAACATAAAAAAAATATTTATCTATCGAAAATTATTATAGGAAAACGAGTATAAATGGTTTAAATAACTCAGGTTTTGATTTTACAAAAAACGCAAAACCTGTATTGGCTCTTTAGAAAAAAAATATCGACCACGTTGGTTTGCTACCGGAAAACAACGTTGGATTTTAAAATAGCGGGCAGTGTGACAAGCTTTTGTTACTATTGATTTTTTTTTCTACTGATTTTGTTTTGATTTCGTATAAAACTATCTTTAGCTACTGTTCGAAAACATTGTAGAAGTGCTAGATAAAGAACTTGAGAAAAATATTGCGACATTATTGCATGATTCATAAGATTAGTTTTGTCTACAGAACTAATACAGAACGAATTTTTTAGATTTAACTAAGGAGAGTGGTAAGTATGTGGTTAACATGCAATTCCCTTATATGGTCCACATGAAAGTTTCTTGTCGGGACATAGACAGTAAAAGTTAGACGGAAAATACACTGTAAGTATGCTTATAGACATATGTGCTATAAGACAAAAACACATATCTCATAAGCAATGTTAATTCATCAAATTGCTTATGACGTTTGCATCTTCTAACATCGTGTCCATCTTTCTAACACGGCTTATTCCAATTTTTACTCTAAAATATCTTCGTTCTTTGCAATCTCATCTTATTCTTGGTCTGTTGAGCGGGTTATGGTGCTTCTTGGGGAGATGAACTTGTCTTTGCGGGCCTAGGTAATGTGGCCTGTGAGGATAAACCACGATACCCTATGCTGTAAGACGAAAATGGTAAGTGTGCTAAGGTTGTTTATAATAAACTAACAACGTATAATTTCTAAAGGAATTTCTTTTATTTAAAAAGGTTTAATAATAAAAACAATAAAAAATTCGAACAATTGCAACAATTGATGACTTCAGTCATAGAGTGTGTGAGTTTCGCGTGGCCCACGCCGGGGAGGCATATGTTAGCCATATATGCACCACTTCTTTTTTTGGGATAGGTTTATTATAAGTATATAATTGCAAACAGCAAATATCGTTTATATATATATACATATATATATATATATATATATATATATATATATATATATATATATATATATATATATATATATATATATATATATATATATATATATATATATATATATATATATATATATATATATATATATACATATATATATATATATATATATATATATATATATATATATATATTTTTTTGCCGTGTTATTATATACAAACTGAATCTTAATAACAAGATATATATGCAGCAGGGAAAGAGGA